TTATTTTATTTTATTTTATTTTATTTTATTTTATTTTATTTTATTTTATTTTATTTTATTTTATTTTATTTTATTTTATATTTTATTTATTCTTTCTGTATTCTTCGGTCCGATCTAAGTATAGTACATAAAATCATACATTGCAATGTCCTACCCGTCAATGAATACTTCAGCTTCAACCATAACAACACCTGAGTAAACAATAGATACAAACTCAAGGTTAATCGCACCAAACATGATTGCAGGAAATACGACTTCAGCAACAGAGTGGTCAATGTCTGGAATACTCTACCTGACTCTGTGGTTCCTTTCCCAAACCCCAAAAACTTTAGACTGTCTACTATTGACCTCAAGCCTTTCCTCAGAGGTCTGTAGGGGGCGTGCATAAGTGCACCAATGTGCCTACCATCCCTGTCCTATTGTTTCTTTTTTTCTTTCTTTCTTATATGTATCCATGTATTCATAACTATGTTTTTACTTATACCTATTATCTTGTAAGCAATTGACAAACCAAATAAAATAAAATAAAAATAAAAAGTATTGCTGCATCCTATACAGCATAACATGCCATACTTCCTGAATATTGGATGGCCTCATTGCTGTTTTTTTTCCAGAAAGTCTTGAGGTTTTGGCTTTTTTTCTCAAGCTCTGGGGCCTTATTGTCAGAAGTTATGAACTGTTTTTATTTCTTATCTGAAGGTTGTTCATGCTTGTGGAATAGTAACTAGCTTCAGGCTGGAAGGGTGTGCCATAATTTTACTGCTTTTATCAGTCCATCAGATCAGGGAGTGTGAACTGTTTTTGAGGATTCACAGCCGCAAGCAACTGGACTAGAACAAACTTTGCATTCTGAAGTGTTACAGAAAAATAATGTGAGAGGCCAATCTGGATGGATATCTGGAAACTTGATTTCCTTGGGGTGAGGAAGTTGGTTTGGTGACTACCACCACTGGATATATATCCAAGGCTCAAGATAATTCATATAATTCTGGAAGCAATAATTAATATAATTTCTAGAAGCAAACAGGGGAACTTGCCCCACTGTATATCAACGGGGGGCATGTGGAGAGGGTTTTTTCTTTTAAATTCTTGCAACTGCTCATTAGTCAAGACCTAATGGAAAAACAACATGTCCCGGTTGGTTAGTAAGGCTCAACAGAGACTTCAGAAATCAGGTGGAACAATGGGTGTTGACTTCTTTCTATCAGTCCATAACAGAAAGTGACCTCACATACTTTATAACAGTATGGTACGCTGGTTTAATAGCCGTGGACAGGAAGGCACTACATAGAGTGATTAATTTGGCACACAAAACCATTCGTTGCCCCCTAACACCACTGGATGACATCACCAGGTTTTGCTGTTTCAGTAGAGTAAGGAAGATTCACACTCTGGCCAGTTTCTCTTTTCACTTTTATCATTGGGCAGAAGACACAAGTATAGCCAGCCAGATAAACAGGTTTAAAAACAGCTTTTATCCATGGGCTGTCAGACTCCTAAATACAATATAGCACCACAAATAGATTAATGTGACGAATTTAACTGGTGCCAGTGTAGTGTATAATATGCATATACCATGATATAAGTTCATACACCAGAGTAATATACATGTTGCACAGAATATGACGTACATATGGAAATGTATGACTAGTTTCCCCCCCACTAACTATATGTATAAGGATTATTCTTTATATTATTAATGTTGTCTTGTATTCTTGTATGGACAGCACCAGTAGAGGCTAAACCAATTTTGTTGTATACATGATGTACAATGACAGATTTAAATGACCTCTCCGCTAAGGGTTTCACTTTATGAGCAAGAATTGGCTGCTGATAGTTATCATTGTATTTTAACTATTTTAATTCTTCCAGGTGCTCTGGCACCCTGCCTGACTTGTAACTCTGGCTTGCAGGTCTTTTTAATCTAATGATTGGCATTTAGGGAACTTTTTGCAGGCAAAGAAACTTTTTGCAAGCAAAGAAACTTTTTGCATTTGTGTACAGGTAACCCTTGATTTACAACAGTTCATTTAGTAACCATTCAAAGTTACAATGGCACTGAAAAAAGTGACATGACTGTTTTTCACACTTACAACCATTGCAACATTCCCATGGTCACGAGAGGCCAGACAAGGAGAAGCATCTCTCAACATGAGTGATGTCGAGTTGGCCATGCCCATCCAGGCACATGACCACCTAGCCATGCCCACCCAGGCACATGATCACCAAGCCATGCCCGCAGAACTGGTTGTTAAAAAATTTGAATCCCACCCCTGTAGTTATGGTGTAGAAGCCATGGTAAAATAAAATAAATCGATGTCAGCACCTTTACTTTCAATTTGTTTTATATTCCATTCTTACTTCTTCAATAAAGATAAACTAATTTAACCTAAACAAAATTAATTTAAGAAACTGAATATAAAGGAACAATATAGAACTAAACAAAATTCTTTTCAGATTCCATATTTTTATCTATAGAACAAATACAAGTAAGACAATACTTAGAGTTTTGGATGCAGATATATCAGATTTTACATTTTATATCAATACCATCTGTCAAAGAACAGTGAATAAAGACTAGATTTTCACATTTCAGGAAAAATAAGATAGAAACTCCAATATATACAAGATCATATTTGGTATATCTGCAGATATGGAAGACTGTTTTAAGAATTGATTTGCATAGCAATTTTTGGATTTGGGAATGGGAAAAATAAAAATCAATAGCTAAAATTAGGGAAAGGTCATATATACTTAACACCTGGGAAGGTGAGTTTAATAAAATCAGGAACAAGTTGAAAGTGTTGCTGAAGATGTAATAGAATTGATCATGTGATGAAAATTCAGATGTTTGCTAACCAGCATATATTTATGATGGTTGCAATGCCCCAGGGTCACATGATCACCTTTTGAGAGCTTCTGACAAGCAAAGTCAATGGGGAAGCCACATTCATTTAACAGCCACGTTACTAACTTAGCAACTGGGGTGATTCACTTAACAACTGTGGCAAGAAAGGTTGTAAAATGGGGCAAAGCTGACTTAATAACTGTCTTTCTTAGCAACGCTCAATTGTGGTCGTAAGTCAAGGATGTTCTGTATTGTACCAGAGCCTTGATTTGCCTTATTATATGCTTGTGATAAGCAAGTGAAAAATTTGAGATTTTTTTTTTCATTTTCAAGAAGAGAGTGGACAGCCACTTGTCAGAAATAGTATAGGGCCTCCTGCTAGAGCAGAGGCCTACTAGATGGCCCTTCCAACTGTTTTATTCTGTATTCTGTAAATGCTTCGAGAGGATCAGCTTCTGAGTGGTTTCATGCTGACTCATGAGGTACCAACACCTAATATAGACTGATTTAAATCCACCCTCTCTGTATTTCTACACACTGAGGATCGTGGAAATGGGACATTCTGGGAGTACCAGAGGTAGTATTCAGCAGGTTCAGACCGGTTCTGACCGGTAGCAGAAATTTTGACCAGTTCAGAGAACTGGAAAAACCACCTTTGGTTGCCCCCCCAGCCCCCACTGTTTCCTCTCCTATATTCCCTTGTTTTTTAGCTCAGCTGATTCGCGTGGCAGAGTGGATTGCTGCTCCTCAGCTGAGCTAAAAAACAGCACAGCTCACCTCACTCAGCTGACATAGAGGTCGGTCTATGCTTAAGCGCACACATATAGAATCACTCATAGAACCGGTAGGAAATAATTTGGAAGCCGACCACTGGGGAGTGCCCAATAAGAAATCTACCCAGGACATAGCTGTCAAAAAAACATTACACAATTCTGCTTATGGCTCTAAGATGAAGAAATAAAACATTATCTTCATTATCTTAGCTTACACAGCCACTCAAAAAATCCATTACATTTCTAAGGCGGAGAGTCATGATGCCTCGTGTTATAACCATATGTGGAGAGAGACTTAGTTTAATGTATGAAGCTACTGACAACTTCCTTACTGGAATTATATTTTTACCATTGACAGCATTTTTTTTTTTGGAAGATTTGCTATTTTTCTGATGCTTGTTTTTCTGGAACTTAACTTCTTGAATTCAATGAGTAGACAGTAAGTAATTCTATGTCTGGCTAATCTGTTAAATTAAAACAATTACTTTCTTGACTGTAAGGAGGAACAGAAAGAGAAAACCTCTGAAGTTTTGAGTATTTAGCATAAGTATTTTTTTGAAGCTCTTACGTATCATTTGTGGTAAATTATCAGTAAATGTATAAATACTGTACAAAGAAGGTACAGCCTTTCTACAAAGACATCAAAGTCTCAAAGAAATTAGAAAAGGCATGAAAATGCAATGATTAGAAAACCATAACGATCATCATTTGGAAATATTTGAATAAAGAGAAGCATGAAGAGTTAATTTATCAGCACTGATAAATGCAATTTTATGGAGTAACCCAATATAAACAGAGGTCAGAGCTCACCTACAAGCAATGCTGGTTCAGAGAGACAAATTTCATCTGTATACATTCACGAGCTAAATATATAACATTTATTCATTAGGCTTTAAGTGCAGGTAATTCTTTAACGATATCAGATGTGTAAGTCCCAGACCAACTAAAGCTTCCTGCCGCAGCTTAGAGGAGTGCTCCATTGCTTTAATCAACTTACAGTTTTAATCATGATAAAGAGAGGTTTTCATTCCATTTAATTTCCTTAGCACAGTTTTGTTTATCTGTGAGTTACTGTTATCCTATTTTACAGGAGACACTAAATAAAGAATTAAATAAATACTGACACCAGTGCAATCGATTGAGTTCAGAAATACTCCACGAGAAAAGTCTGGCACTCTTCTGTACACAATAGAATTCCTTATGCTGCTGAGGCTCAAAATTCTCAGTTTGGATACCTTAGAACTTTGTCACTTGTGATCAGACTTAGTTATTGCATACAAAATTATACGTACTAGTGTTTTACCTGTAAATGACTTTTTCTGTTTTAATCGCAATAATACGCACACAAACAACCGCTTTAAACTCAATGTAACTTGTTCTAAACTTGGCTGTAAAAATATAATTTCTGTAGTAGAGTTGTCAAAGTTTGGAATGCCCTACCTGATTCAGTTGTCTCAGCTACAAATTTTCACAGTTTCAGTCACAAATTGACTTCCGTGGACCTTACTTCGTACTTAAGTGGTCAGTAGAGGGGGTATGCATAAGTGCACTAATGTGCCTATCGTCCCTGTCACTGTATTTTTATTCTCTTATTCTTGTTCTCATTTTTGTTTGTCCAATTCCAATACATAAATAAATAAAATAAAGTTTGTAATTTGCTTTGCTACATATTTAGCCTTAGTTTGATTGTAGCAAGCTACTTTTTTTAACCTGGGGAATGTTTAGCCAATAGGAACAAGGTCATGTTTATATCTCTCTAATAAATGTGTAGCATTGGAAGGAGCTGCTGAATATGATGCTAAGTTCATGAATATAAATTAAGAGAATCCCCCAAAGATGGCTTTCCAGCTTCTGGTTTACCACATCTTAAAATCCATTCTCAAATTACCTTTAAAATTAGGAACTGTTTTCTAGAATTCAAATGGATTCTGCATTTCTGGATCGCAACCCAAATCTAAAAAGCTGAGAAGCTTTGATCAGCATTGTTCTCATTCGTCAAGTTATTACAATATTAGTACAGTGTCAGAATCTTTTACTCACAAACCAACTTGGGAGATGATCACAGGAGAAAGAAAATAAAGTAAAATTGCCTCCATTAATGATTTAGTTAATTAATTATTGAATCTATACTGAGAAATAAATACCTTCTTCAAAACGTCTTCATTATTTCTCATCTGGAGAGCCCATGCATTTCCAAAGACTGGAAGAGAAAGAGGACCAGGTGGGAAGTGTCTCCGGGACCACCATTGTTCCAGGGAGAACAGAATCAGTAGAGAAAGCAGCGGAAAAAGTAAAATTACTGATATTTCTATCATGCCGTCTTTTCTCCTTGTCGATTCTTGGATTCTTTCTAATATACTGAGAGGAACTGGGTTCTCTCTCGCTACTTGATTGCGTTATAGTTGTGGCCACTTCTTTTTTTCTGTATGTCAACCTCTATCTGTAGCTCAGGGTTGCAAATATTTCATTATCTAGTTGGTCAACAACATGAGTATAGCGTTTGCTCTCTTTTTATATATAATGACTTGCCTGTCAGTTATGATGGGTGTTGGGTTTTCTCTGCATCACTAAAATTAATTAGGCATTGTTTTCTATTGGTTTGTCATGTGGTAACCCTTGCTTATTTGGATGTTGGATGCTGGGAAGGATGTAGCGTGAACTTTTTATTTTCTTCTTGGCTTTTTTTTTTTAGTATTTCTCTAGTATGATATGTACATTTGTTTATCTCTGTGTGTCTATTGATGGCTGTGCTGTCCCAGCCAGTCTATGGGAATTGGTTAGTTACTTAGGAATTGTGAGCTGTCCCCTTAAGGGAATGCATCATGGTAAATGTAGTTAAAGATATCCTGGGAAATGTAGTTCATGTCACGTGGTTACATCTGTAATCCTGATTGGTCACTAAGTTGACCCTTGAGGGGTTGAGGGGGGTTTCCCCCCATTCTTGCCTGCACTCATGGACTGATAACAGCTTTCTTTCTATCACTATGTGATGGATTAGGAAAATAACATTTTTTTACCTGCAATGCTGATATACAAAGGATTGGTCATTATAGAAGAGCTTCATCACAAATGTGAGTTATGAAGATACCTGATGTACCAATAAATGTACTTTGTTATGGATGTTTTGTGGAATTATCTATCTGCATCTGCACAGCCACAAATCCACCTCTGTGATGAGACAAGACAGAAAAGTAAAAAATGATTTCTAACCCATCAGAATAAATTTATTAATTTTGGATTTGTGATAAAGCAATGTGATATTGAAGCCAGGAGTGAATGTGCAATGTTGATGTGAACCTGCATGTCTCATTGTCTCTCTCTCTCTGTGAACATTGGAACTCTTTACATGCTGTGGATGTTGGGAGGGGCTGGAGTTTCCCACATGCTACAAACAAAAAGACCTTTCTACCCACCCACCCACCCCTCCTCTCTGCTCAATCTGCCTTCCTACTATTTGGGATTCTATTTGCATAACAAGGAGAGTTAGAAATTTCCCAGTTCTCAAAAGCTTGAGTAATCTTGCTTGTATTTTTTAAATAAAAACTAAAGCTGACTCTGCCATGCTCATCTGGCATGGAGACAAAGCCATAAAACAGACCCTCTTCAGCCAATTTACAACTGATAGAGATACATTGTAGTTCCAGAAAGGGGCTAATTCCTCCTCCCTTTCTCTTCAGTGAAAGCAAGGCTGTGTCTCAAATTACAACTCCTAACTGGAAAGAACTTATTTGCAAAGCAAGGGAGTGACCAAGTATATCTCATCCATCCCTGTATTCATTCAATTACAAACCCTTTCCAAACGCAATGAGAAAGTTTCAGAAATCTTACTTGTTTTGCTAAAAAGAAAGGCTTCTCTTGTAGAGGCAATAAAGAGGCCAGGGTAATCAACATTCTTCCGTCTCCATAGCAACGGAGCACTTAATCTAAAGCAGCCTACAGCTCCACCTGGTGGTCAAGAAGAAATTTACAGTGAAGTCATTTTATTTTATTTTCAACAGTGGGCAAGCAGTCCCCCCCCCTTTTCTCTTCAGCCCACTGCCCCCTTCTGGTAGTCAACATTTTTTTTCCTTATGTAATTTTTTTCCACAATTTCTCAAATATTGACCAGAGTGATTATGAAACTATTGTGCATCATTTAATCAACTTAATTCAAAGGTCCCAAGAGTAACTGCAACCTAATATGGGCATAGCAACAGCATCTTCCAGACCCTCTGCTGCCACCTTGTGAAGCAAGTGACCCTTATAGGCATATTTTTGCATTCTGCCCTCAAGTCTTCAGACTATGCTATGCATATTTCTGTGTTCAGCCCTCTAGATCCAGGAAACTACAGACCTATTAGCCTGACCTCAATACCAGGGAAGATTCTGGAAAAGATAATTAAGCAACGAATCAGTGAACACCTCGAAGCAAACAAAATAATAACCAAAAGCCAACATGGTTTTGTCAAAAACAGATCATGCCAGACTAATCTTATTGCGTTCTTTGCCAAAGTGACAAAATTAGTGGATCAAAGGAATGTTGTCAATATAATTTATTTGGACTTCAGTAAGGCATTTGACAAAGTAGACCATACCCTACTACTTGATAAAATAGAAAAATGTGGGTTAGACAGCATCATGAATCCAGATGGATTTGTAACTGGCTGACCAACCGCACTCAATGTGTAGTCCTCAATGGAACTGCATCTAAATAGAGGGAGGGATTCAGTGGGGTACTTCAACATATTCATCAATGGTTTGGATGAGGGGATTACTGTCTCTTCAAGTTCTCCCTCTGGCCTGAATCCAGCAGGGGGCACCCAGCTGCAAACTGATTGGCTACTGGTTTGACAGCTTGGTATAAAAAGAGCTGTGAAAGAGGCCAACAGCTGTTGCCTCACAACTGAGCTTAATCTGCATTGTTAGCACACAAAGCTTAAATAAAGCCTGAGCAACTAAGCCAGCCACCTCGCCTCATTTTTTTTAAATAAATTTTTTATTAATTTTCAATAAACAAACATACACAAACAAAACACAAAACATGAAAACATAAAACTTCTTTTTGGAAAGCGGCTTAGTCCCAGGTTACATCTTTTTGTACAGACATAAATCAAATTCATGCTCACTTTATATACCATTTAATATCTTATTTACCATTCTACATTTTCTATATAGCTTCTGCCCTCTTTTCACTCTCTTAATTCTATTTTATTTATTTCATCTCAATTTGAATCATTATACTTGTATCTTTTGTCTGTTTTATTTCAATTATCTATTATCTTTTCTCATTAAAACAAAATTTCTCCTATAATCACTGATTGAAGTATGACGCCTTTATATCTTTCCCCTAAATTTAACACTTAAAATAATATATAATTTTCATTCTGATTCTGCTTAGTACATTCTAAAGCTACGTACTATATTTTAAAATAGGAAAATAATACGTTTATAATATAATTAAAACAATAATCCATAGCAAATTAAACTCTATCATTAAATCTTAAGCATTTTACACATTCCTTTTAATATTTTATCCCATTTTATAATCATATAATGTTCCAGTTTTGTAACATTATTTCAAATACAAATACAACAATACAGTCTTCTGTACTTTTGCAGAATCTTTTATAATTATATTTTTACCCATTATCTCTGAATAAATCCTGTTTCTTTACATCTTGTTTCAAACCTTTGTAACTTCTCTTCCCTTTTTCCTTTCCTTTCTTCTCCAATCTAGCCTTTTTACCCCCCCTTGATCTCCACCCTCTTCTGTATTCCTCTTTTCTGATGCTTTCTAACATTGTATCGATTTTTCACCTTATTTTTCCCTTTTTTGGTTGTTTTTTTAAGTCTTAAATTCTTCATTTTCTTTCCCCTCTTTCCCTTTTCTTCCCCAGCTAAAGTTATTTGTTCATTAAAGATGGCTTGCCTTCTTCTTCATCCCAACCTTCTTGTTCTTGTAATTTCTGATAGGTAGAAATCGCCATTTCTAAAAAATGAAAAACAGATCCAGAAGAGACCTTCCCTTTTTGTTCCTCTTCTTTTAGCTTTTTAAATTCCATTTTCAGTTCATCAACAAGTAATGCCATTGTGAAAAAATTTTAAACAACCCAAATGTTTTTAGTCTTTCAAATAATAATTTCCAAAGGTCCCAAAGTCACGAAGCAATCCAAATAGACACAAAGTGTTTCATTTAGCACTTTCTTCTTTTTATACTTTCTCTTCCTGGGGTACAGTTCAATTGCAAAGTTCCAAAGTATATCTTTTAGAAGTCTTGTTACAATTTAACTCTGATCTTATAAGTTCCAAGCAGCCTCCTCCAGCAAAATCTTAAAATTAATTCTTTTCCTCTCCCTTCCCACTTATAGCAAAAAATAATATATATTTTTTAATTCCAATGTTCAGAAATCTTTAATGTCCCCTTGGCTTTAATTTTCAAATTTAATTACCTGCTGGTGCCAAAATGGGTTTTTCTGATTTCCATCTGCTATCACCGTAAGGAAGGAGAGTAAAAAAACCCAAACTTTCCCTTTTAACTTTCATCCGCTGATTTTTCCGATCTTCGTTGGGAACAATGTATCTTTAATGAAATTAAAATACCAGGGTATTTAAATGTTACTTGTTATCCTGGTTCAGCCAAAAACTTTCACTTTCTCAGCTTCCTCCTGCACATTCTTGTGCGGATGAAAGCTTCTTTGTGGCGGCCATTGCTGACCGCTGCTCTACCGCTTTTGGAAAAAGGAGTTAAGCCAGCTGAGGAGGGGGGGTTGCGATTCCCCTGGACCCCTGCTGGATCTCCCCTGTCTTCAGTTACCTCTACGGGGTAACTATTAGCCCACAAATCTGTCTGGATCAGGGGCACTCCAGCGGCGAGCACAGCAGGAACTGCGCACGATCGCAAATTCCTGCCGCCGCCGAAGCCTTGCAAACCGGAAGTCCCCCCACCTCACCTCATTTTGTGGTGTGTTTGTTTCCAAGAACAAAACAGGGATAGATAAGGAACTCATGAAATTTGCAGATGACATCAAACTAGCAGGAATAGCCAACACACTAGAAGATAGGCTTAAGATATAGAAGGATCTTAACAGACTTGAACACGGGCACTATCTAACAAAATGAAATTCAGTGATGAAAAAAATAACATTCTACATTTAGGCAGGAAAAAACAAATGCATAAGTATAGTATAGGTGATACGTGGCTCAAAAGTAGTAACTGTAAGAGGGATCTTGGATTCTTAGTGGACAATCACTTAAATATGAGCCAGCAGTGTGATGCAGCTACCAAAAATGCCAACGCAGTTCTAGGTTGCATAAACAGAGGGATAGAATCAAGATC